AGTTTCGTTTCAGTTCCATCCAACCACCACGATCGAGTTGAAATTAATTTCAATCATTTCATGAGAAAAATAAAGAGAGAATTAATTAACAAGCCATAGGGTTGCAAGTTACAACAAACCTGCAATCCAAGTTGCTCTCTTAGATCTACCATTGCTAGCCCTGTAATTTGAAGCCCCTCAGGCAAAGCTGATGATGACAGAAACAATTGGGTTTAGTTAATTTAGCTATCTCGTCTTAGGAGTGATCATTTTTTCACTATTCCAACCCGTTACAAATTTAGTTACCGCACAAAAAAAACGAATATGACATGCTACGGTAATTAACTTACACAAAATAAGAAAGTATTTATGCATATATGTCGGACTGTGACTAATTAGTATTGAATTGGTACCCCTTCATAATTGTGACTTATAATTTATAAGGTTGTACGTTGGTTCAAAATCAATACAATTTAGTTAATCTGCGTATGATCCAATAAAAATTGAATAATTGTGATTTTTTCAATCTGATCCAATCATATTAGATGTTTAAATCCAATCCGATCTTATCCAATTGATATTGAATTGGATTGAATCGGATAATTGGTTTTGATAATAGAAAAGGACAATAATGATACATGTTAAATATTTATCCTTATGTTTAATATAATCAAAGACATAAATGTAAAATATAAATGAAATATTAGAGAAAATTGTTTTGATTTATATAATATATCAAACATAACTCCATTAAATGACTTAAAATATTCATAACCTTTTTAACGACAAATACCTAAAATAGAAAAATAAGCATAAAACTAGCTAACTAGATTGTATTGGATTGGATTTTGATAAGCAAATTCGTCATCCGATCCAATCATATCGGTTTTAAAAATTACGGATCCAATGCAATCCGCCAAATTTTCAAAACCAATTAAAGTTGGATTGGATTGAATTGAATTGATCGGTTTGGACGAATTGAATTGAATCTTCTACACCCCTAGGCCCCGTTTGGTTCATGGGAAAGGAATCTTGGGGATAGGAAATCAATTGCTTTCCCATGTTTGGTAAGTCAGGCATGGGAAATCGTTGTCTAGCACATCGGAAAGTAGGAGGGAAAGTGAAGCCTTCCTTCCTCCTTGGGTTTTACTTTCCCTTCCCATGGGAAAGTAAGGCTAGCATTAAATACACTTTTTTCTGACTAATTTGTCTTTACTAACAATTCATAATTACAGTTTTTATCCAACAACTATTGGTATTCTTTTTTATTTTTTTTATTCATATTTCTTTAATAGGGGTACAATTGGGAAACTAAACAAAATTTGTTTTCCATTCCTACCCAAAACAAACATGGGAAAGGAAATAAAGTAATATTTCCGGGTTACTTTCCCAGCATTACCAAATATGGGAAAGGAATCACCATTTCTCATCCCTTGGGAAATGACATGGGATATGATTTCCTATCAAATCCGTTCCGTAAACCAAACGGGGCCCTAATATCTGATTTGCACGGGAAGTATCAAAAGCTATTTTAATTACCATTTGGTGTTCGGTGTTCCAGGTATCTTGAAAGTCCTGATGAAATCACACCAAAAAGAACATCGTTGATTGTCTGCATGGTGGGAGAAAACTTATAATTAAAACCTCCTTTTTGAAAAATAAAAAATAAAAAGATTTCTCATGCAAAGTCAAAAACAAAATATTAATTAGAAGCAACGTATATATATTAATCAAATTACCGCATTTGGAACAGCTTTCTTGACGAGCTTCATGTCCTGAAGCCTAAACCGAGCAGTGGCCAACTTCCTAGGCCACAGCTCAACCCCATCGCCACCACTGATCTCTGTTTTTCTGTCACAAACCCACAAGCTCCTCATCACAAGCTCCACCACAAACACCAAGTTGAACCACACCATACTCAAAAACCCTATCAACAAAACCCACCAACCCTTTCCACTACTACTATTCACTCTTTTCTTGTCCCTCTTCTTCCCATAAGCCAAAGTTGGGAACTTTTCTTGATCGTCGGCTCTCCTACAATCGGCCAAGAACAGAGACATGAGCGAAGCCCCGTCTCCCAAAGCATGGTGGAGTCGAAACACGCAGCAGTTGTGAGCCATGAGAAGGTGCAATTCCCACAAGGGTTTGTCAGTGCTTAGCCCAGAGCTGATGGAGAGGTCAGCCAAGTAGTTGTTGACAGCGGTATCATGGTCAACAGACTGTGATGCGGTAGAGACGGGGTTGTGGAGGATGATGATGTGGCGGTCGAAGTCAATGTGGGTTGCTTTTTGCCAGTGCTCGACGCCGAGGGAGTCGCGGACCACGAGGCTTGAGAATCTGGGGTGGGAGAGAAGGAGGGAGGTTTTGAGGCGGGACTTGATGGCGTCTATATCTATAGGGTTCTTGAAGCCGATGGCGCAGTGGATTATTAGGTTCCATCGGGGATGGAGGAAGAGACGGCCTGGTGGAGACAAGGGCTGCTCTGCACAGTTATCATCTGAGGAACCCATGAGAGACAGAGAGAGGGATATGGTGGAAGAGTTGTCTGTGTTGGTGCAAGTTGTGATTGCCTTCTTGGAGCATTCAATTTTATAGTAACATTATGTGACACTGTGATATAATTTTCTTTAGAATATTCGTAATAATTTAGTTTGGCATGAGGGATATGAATATACTCTTTCTTAAGGGCAATCAATTATGGTTTCTTCTAAGCAATGCAATATTGTACCAAAAAAGGGAATAACCTTTGGCACAACTACACAAAGTCAAGCTTGGACTATGCGGCTATGCCTATCTCAAGTAGGAAGAAAAATGAGCTGACTCTGGGGGAAGAGTTGTTTGTGTTGGTGCAAATTGTGATTGCCTCATTGGTCTTTTAGGGAAGGAAAAGTCTTGGATTATTGAATTTTGGTGGCAGAGTTGTGTATAGTATCATCACGTGACATTATGATATAATTTTCTCATTGTTGATATAGTTGCTCATTGCATAAAAAAGTTGACTTGGCAATAGTTTAGTTTAGCATGAGGGATATGATTGTGCTCTTTCTTAAGAGCAATGAATTATCTTTTCTTCTGAAAAAGGTAATAATGTACCCCAAAAAAAAGGGAACTACGTACTTTGGACAACTTTACACCCTTCACCTTACACAAAGTCAAGATATGATTGTGCAATTAGAGGAGTAGGGAAGAAAAATGGGCTGACTCTAAGACAACCTAAGTTCCATGAGAGAGAGAGAGAGAGAGAGAGAGAGTTGTTTGTGTTGGTGCAAGTTGTGATTGCCTCGTTGGTTTTCTTTAAGAAAGGGAAGGTTTTGGAGTATTGAATTTTATACACTACCTGACAGTGCAATATAATTTTCTTCTCGTTGATGTAATGGAGTTGCTCATCGCATATTACACAAAGTCAAGCTTAGACGATGCCCATCTCAATTATCTCATTCATTGTAATTAGAGACGTAGGAAGCCAAATGAGATGACTTCTAAATTGAGAATAATTTCCCATACTATTGATCGTCCTACCAAAATAGAGAGAAATTATAGAATAGTTTTCGTGTGTCGGGCCTTCTGTTTAGCAAAAAGTTTGTATTGAACATGGTAGAGTTTGGGTTGGTAACTTGCTTTGTTTGAACATGTCGTATATAATTAGACAAAAAAAGAACATGTCGTACAGAAAGCAAAATGATTGTGTGAAAAGGGAACTATATTTTGGATATGCCTGCCCATCTTGATCATTGTCTCATTAATCGCAATCATCTCCTTCCAATACCGGTCAAGGAAAGAGAGTACCACTACATCACATCCAGCAGAAAATAATTAAGAAAATAATTTGTCACTGGCCAAAACATCAGAAATCTTCACTTTCCCCACCAAATTTTCTACTACAAAATTCCATTTGTGTAAAAATAAAAATGGCCTCTTCCATCGAAGCTGGAGGGTCATGGACAAACGTTCAAAGCGGTCAAAATCTTGGCGACGAAGTTATAAATTTTTTTTTGCCGTTTTATTCAATTTAATGTCATTTTTAAAAATATTTCTTGCATTTCCAATTTCATTTTTTAAAATAGATTATTCGAGGCAAAACAAAAAAGAGGAAAACCATTACACATGGCTCCCCAAGTGAACAATGCCCGCAGTCGGTTCCAGTGGTGCGTTTAGTGTCAAAAATAATGGCACTATTACGTCCTCCGAAGGAAAATACTCCTCCATGTTGTGATCTGGTGGAACCGCCTCAGCCAATGATTGAGTCGTGCTTGTACTCGATTGTGTCAGACTATGAGGACATGGAGTTTTTTAATTGTATGATGAGTGAGTAGGTTTTTCAATTGTATGATGAGTGAGATGTGAATTTTATAATAAATATGGACAAGTGGCAACTAAAAATCTTACCCAAAAATTTTATATGAAATTTGAGATGTGAATTTTATAATAAATATGACACGTGGCAACCGAAAATCTTATCCTAAAATTTAATCCTAAAAACTTATCCGAAAATTTTATCTGAAATTTGAGATGAGAATTTTATAATAAATAGTGACACGTGGCAACCAAAAATCTTATCAAAATTAATGGTTTAAGTATAAAAACATAGAAAATAAATTAAAGTGAATAATAATTGCTATTGCCCTTACCCTTTGGGGTCGAAACAAAAAAGACAAAGGTTGCCACTATTCAAGTGAATAGTGACAAATATTGTCTTGCCTTTGTCTTGCCCTTGCCCTTTGGGGTGGAAGTGCTCTTATAGGACACAAGGCCTCCATTCAAAAAAGATGTTACTGAAAAATATCAACAAATGTGGTGCAATGTTTCAATTACTATGAAACAATGCAACTTTTCACATAAAGTATTATTTAATAATATTTTATTTTTCTTCTGTTAAGAACATGATTATTCTCAATTGATACATACCAATTTGTAAAAGTCATGTACTTAAAAGTCACGAATCCCACAATTTAATTACCATTCAATTATTAAAAAATTAAATATAAATTTTATAAATTTCTAACAAATCAATAATTTGTTTCTCAATGGGCTGCTTCCTTCATATCAAGCAAGGCCTCCTCAAAGCACTTTGCAAGAAATTCCGGGTCAGGAATGATATCTTTAGCAACCAAAATTTGCATGTCTGCTCTTTCCACGTAGCTCACCATATGCATTAGAAGTGCCTGCATGTACGGATCAGCAAAAACCTTCATACCCTAAATTGACAATGTAGAAACTTTAAAGTGAATATTTGAGGTATACCTGGGGCACGCTAGATGCATTCACTCTGAGGTAAGTTATAGGGTTTCCTCCAACTGCAATTTCTTCTTGTGGGCCAGGTATATTTGAGATAGCAAAGCTAGTGTTGCAGACAGTCCTGTAAAGAAGCCGAGTAGCAATCTGCAGTTCAATGGAAAAAAAAAAAATTGTAAATGCATTATTTTCTTGTTTGAAAACTGCATTTTGATGATCCTCACCTCTGCTCCCAAATAGGTCATTAAAAAACACAAAATTTTGTACGACCAAAGAGCCTCCAGAGACTGTTTCTTGCGGTCCATAATCACCTTAGCTCTCCTCAAATATTCCAGAGGTTCAGTTCCAGAACTTTTTTTATAATAAATAGGTAGGAGAAACGTGCTGAATTTGTTACCCCAACTCGATCCAGAGTTGCTTTTCATCAAATCTGATTGTTCCTGATCAGATTGTTCATTTCATAAGGAAAACAAAAACAACCCATTGAAATACATAGCACAAACAAAATTATGCAAGTTTAGAATTTACAGCAGACCTGCAATCTAAGTTGCTCTCTTAAATTTACCATAACCATCCCTGTAATTCGAAGCCCCTCGGGCAAACCTGGTGAGAAGAACGACTGGGTTTAGCTAACTTTTGGTTATGGTGATTCAATGCCATTGATATCTGTTTCAAATGGGAAGTACAAGTGCACATCAGCAATTTCTAATTACCATTTGGTGTTCGGTGATCTAGGTATCTTGATAGCCCTGCTGAAACCACCCCCACAAGAACATCATTGATGGTCTGCAGCATTGTGGCATAGAATTTTCAGTCAAAACCCTTTTCTTTTTTCTAAAGAAAAATAATTTGAAAAAAAAAAACGGATCTTTTTTATTTGGACAACTCCAGAAAAGGAACCAACAAAACCCAATATACAAGAAAAACAGAAGAATTAGCAAATCAATTACCGCATTTGGAACACATTTCTTGACGAGCTTCATGTCCTGAAGCTTAAACCGTGCGGTGGCCAGCTTCCTAGGCCAGAGCTCAACTCCATCGCCGCCACTTATCTCTGTTTTTCTGTCACAATCCCACAAGCACCTCAACGCAAACTGCACCGCAAAAATCAAGCTGAACCAAACCATACCCACAAACCCAATCAACAAAACCCACCAGCCCTTTTCACCATTCACTCTGTTTCTCTTCTTCCCGGCAGAGCCCAAAGCCGGTAGCTTTTCTTCCTCTTCAGCTCCCCTGAAACTCGCCGAGAACAGAGACATGATTGAAGTCCCATCTCCCAGAGCGTGGTGGATGCGGAAGACGCCGCAGTTGTGGGCCATGAGGAGATGAAATTCCCACAGAGGTTTGTCGGCGCTGAGGTCAGAGCTGGTGGAGAGGTCGGCCAAGTAGGCGTTGACCGCGGCCTCATGGTCAAAGTTTGATGCGGTTGTGATGGTGTTGGGGACGACGATGATGTGGCGGTCGAGGTCGACGTGGGAGGTCCTGTGCCATTGCTTGAGGCCTCGGGGGCCGCGGACCATGAGGCTTGAGAATCTGGGGTGGGAAAGAAGGAGGGAGGCTTTGAGGTGGGATTTAATGGCGGCGATGTCAATGGGGTTTTTGAAGCCCATGGTGCAGTGGATTATTTGGTCCATTTGGGGTTGGAGGAAGAACCCACCAATTGGGGTTATGGGCTCGTCTGAGAACTTGTCAGCTGCCGACGAACCCATGAAACACAGACAGAGAGATGAAGAAGAAGAAGAAGAAGAAGGTTGTGGTTTTGATACGTGGGGTTGTTGGGTTGATTTTGCTTTCTTTATAGAAAGCAAAATTATTGTATCAAAAGGGAATTAAAATTTAGATTATCACCACCCTTTTCCTTACAGTCAATATAGATTATATATGCATGCCCATCTTGATCATTTGTCTCATTAATGGCAATAAGAGAAGTTAGAAAATTGGGATGAAATTCATGAGTCTCTAGATCGAGTGTCGGTAGGGAGACCACATTTACGTGCCAAATTGTATATCACTCCTCTAATAGAGTGGACGTGCAGTTTACTGATTCTTCATATGAGTGTTAAGAAGTAAAAAGAGCATCTTGACCAAAAAAAAAAAGAAGTAAAAAGAGCATGAAGGTTGTAAAATAAAAAATATAATACATGATGTGACTCATTATCCATTACTTGAGGTTCTTGGTTAATTACTTATGGTTGCATTGCAGCTGGCTGCTTCCTTCATATCAAGTGGTCGTTGACAGCGGTATCATGGTCAACAGGCTGTGATGCGGTAGAGACGGGGTTGTGGAGATGATGATGTGGCGGTCGAGGTCAATGTGGGTTGCTTTTTGCCAGTGCTTGACGCCGTGGGAGTCGCGGACCACGAGGCTTGAGAATCTGGGGTGGGAGAGAAGGAGGGAGGTTTTGAGGCGGGGCTTGATGGCGTCTATATCTATAGGGTTCTTGAAGCCGATGGCGCAGTGGATTATTAGGTTCCATCGGGGATGGGGGTAGAGACGGCCTGGTGGAGACAAGGGCTGCTCTGCACAGTCATCATCTGAGGAACCCATGAGAGAGAGAGAGGGATATGGTGGAAGAGTTGTCTGTGTTGGTGCAAGTTGTGATTGCCTTCTTGGAGTATTCAATTTTATAGTAACATTATGTGACGCTGTGATATAATTTTCTTTAGAATATTCGTAATAATTTAGTTTGGCATGGGGGATATGAATATACTCTTTCTTAAGGGCAATCAATTATGGTTTCTTCTAAGCAATGCAATATTGTACTAAAAATGGGAATAACCTTTGGCACAACTTCACAAAGTCAAGCTTAGACTATGCGGCTATGCCTATCTTGCAAGTAGGAAGAAAAATGAGCTGACTCTAAATTAGGGATGGTGGAAGAGTTGTTTGTGTTGGTGCAAATTGTGATGAATTATTGTTTCTTCAAAAAAAGGTAAAAATGTACCCCCAAAAAAAGGGTATTACTTTGGACAACTTTACACCCTTCACCTTACACAAAGTCAAGCTTATGCCCATCTCAACTATCACATCCATTGCAATTAGAGGAGTAGGGAAGAAAAATGGGCTGACTCTAAGACAACCAAAGTTCCATGAGAGAGAGAGAGAGAGAGAGAGAGAGAGTTGTTTGTGTTGGTGCAAGTTGTGATTGCCTCGTTGGTTTTCTTTAAGAAAGGGAAGGTTTTGGAGTATTGAATTTTATACACTACCTGACAGTGCAATATAATTTTCTTCTCGTTGATGTAATGGAGTTGCTCATCGCATATTACACAAAGTCAAGCTTAGACGATGCCCATCTCAATTATCTCATTCATTGTAATTAGAGACGTAGGAAGCCAAATGAGATGACTTCTAAATTGAGAATAATTTCCCATACTATTGATCGTCCTACCAAAATAGAGAGAAATTATAGAATAGTTTTCGTGTGTCGGGCCTTCTGTTTAGCAAAAAGTTTGTATTGAACATGGTAGAGTTTGGGTTGGTAACTTGCTTTGTTTGAACATGTCGTATATAATTAGACAAAAAAAGAACATGTCGTACAGAAAGCAAAATGATTGTGTGAAAAGGGAACTATATTTTGGATATGCCTGCCCATCTTGATCATTGTCTCATTAATCGCAATCATCTCCTTCCAATATTTTTCACTTTCCCCACCAAATTTTCTACTACAAAATTCCATTTGTGTAAAAATAAAAATGGCCTCTTCCATCGAAGCTGGAGGGTCATGGACAAACGTTCAAAGCGGTCAAAATCTTGGCGACGAAGTTATAAATTTTTTTTTGCCGTTTTATTCAATTTAATGTCATTTTTAAAAATATTTCTTGCATTTCCAATTTCATTTTTTAAAATAGATTATTCGAGGCAAAACAAAAAAGAGGAAAACCATTACACATGGCTCCCCAAGTGAACAATGCCCGCAGTCGGTTCCAGTGGTGCGTTTAGTGTCAAAAATAATGGCACTATTACGTCCTCCGAAGGAAAATACTCCTCCATGTTGTGATCTGGTGGAACCGCCTCAGCCAATGATTGAGTCGTGCTTGTACTCGATTGTGTCAGACTATGAGGACATGGAGTTTTTTAATTGTATGATGAGTGAGTAGGTTTTTCAATTGTATGATGAGTGAGATGTGAATTTTATAATAAATATGGACAAGTGGCAACTAAAAATCTTACCCAAAAATTTTATATGAAATTTGAGATGTGAATTTTATAATAAATATGACACGTGGCAACCGAAAATCTTATCCTAAAATTTAATCCTAAAAACTTATCCGAAAATTTTATCTGAAATTTGAGATGAGAATTTTATAATAAATAGTGACACGTGGCAACCAAAAATCTTATCAAAATTAATGGTTTAAGTATAAAAACATAGAAAATAAATTAAAGTGAATAATAATTGCTATTGCCCTTACCCTTTGGGGTCGAAACAAAAAAGACAAAGGTTGCCACTATTCAAGTGAATAGTGACAAATATTGTCTTGCCTTTGTCTTGCCCTTGCCCTTTGGGGTGGAAGTGCTCTTATAGGACACAAGGCCTCCATTCAAAAAAGATGTTACTGAAAAATATCAACAAATGTGGTGCAATGTTTCAATTACTATGAAACAATGCAACTTTTCACATAAAGTATTATTTAATAATATTTTATTTTTCTTCTGTTAAGAACATGATTATTCTCAATTGATACATACCAATTTGTAAAAGTCATGTACTTAAAAGTCACGAATCCCACAATTTAATTACCATTCAATTATTAAAAAATTAAATATAAATTTTATAAATTTCTAACAAATCAATAATTTGTTTCTCAATGGGCTGCTTCCTTCATATCAAGCAAGGCCTCCTCAAAGCACTTTGCAAGAAATTCCGGGTCAGGAATGATATCTTTAGCAACCAAAATTTGCATGTCTGCTCTTTCCACGTAGCTCACCATATGCATTAGAAGTGCCTGCATGTACGGATCAGCAAAAACCTTCATACCCTAAATTGACAATGTAGAAACTTTAAAGTGAATATTTGAGGTATACCTGGGGCACGCTAGATGCATTCACTCTGAGGTAAGTTATAGGGTTTCCTCCAACTGCAATTTCTTCTTGTGGGCCAGGTATATTTGAGATAGCAAAGCTAGTGTTGCAGACAGTCCTGTAAAGAAGCCGAGTAGCAATCTGCAGTTCAATGGAAAAAAAAAAAATTGTAAATGCATTATTTTCTTGTTTGAAAACTGCATTTTGATGATCCTCACCTTTGCTCCCAAATAGGTCATTAAAAAACACCCAATTTTGTATGAGAAAAGAGCCTCCAGAGACTGTTTCTTGCGGTCCATAATCACCTTAGCTTTCCTCAAATACTCCAGAGGTTCAGTTCCAGAACTTTTTTTATAATAAATAGGTAGGAGAAACGTGCTGAATTTGTTACCCCAACTCGATCCAGAGTTGCTTTTCATCAAATCTGATTGTTCCTGATCAGATTGTTCATTTCATAAGGAAAACAAAAACAACCCATTGAAATACATAGCACAAACAAAATTATGCAAGTTTAGAATTTACAGCAGACCTGCAATCTAAGTTGCTCTCTTAAATTTACCATAACCATCCCTGTAATTCGAAGCCCCTCGGGCAAACCTGGTGAGAAGAACAACTGGGTTTAGCTAACTTTTGGTTATGATTGAATGCCATTGATCTCTGTTTCAAATGGGAAGCAAAAGTGCACATCAGCAATTTCTAATTACCATTTGGTGTTCGGTGATCTAGGTATCTTGATAGCCCTGCTGAAACCACCCCCACAAGAACATCATTGATGGTCTGCAGCATTGTGGCATAGAATTTTCAGTCAAAACCCTTTTCTTTTTTCTAAAGAAAAATAATTTGAAAAAAAAAACGGATCTTTTTTATTTGGACAACTCCAGAAAAGGAACCAGTAACTTGCTTTGTTTGAACAGGTTCTATATAATTAGACAAAAAAAGAACATGTCGTATAGAAAGCAAAATGATTGTGTGGAAAGGGAACTATATTTTGACAGAATGACCTTATTAGAATGATTGGAATGAAATCTGGGCAATTTTCTTGGATTTAGTTAGCAAATTGATGAGTCTTTAGACAGAATGACCTTATTAGAGAGACCACATTATTTATGTACGAAATTATTAATTATTCATATGACAGTATGGATTACTTATTATTAATAAGAACTAGTAGCATATTGCTCATTATTAATTACATATGATGCTTGGTTGTTTCATTAATTACTTGTAGCTGCAGCCTGCAGCTATTTCCTTCATATCATATCACTTTGCGAGAATATGAGATGATATCTTTGGCCGCCAAATTTTGCATGTCTGCTCTGTTTGAAAAAAAATAAATCAGTGACTACTATAACAATAACCCGACTTGCCTACTAAAATCATGGCACTGAATTAGAATACAATCAAATACACGTTTGTGTTATTGTCCTGCACGCTCGAATATATATACTACCTATAATATTAATATATATATATATATATATATATATATATACACGTGAAAAAATTTCAGGGCCCTTAAAAATTGGGGGCCCTGTGTGGTGGCACCACTTGCACACCCTCAGAGCCGCCCATGCCGTAACTAATGGGTCCCAATTGTCCAACAGCAACTGCGTTGACTTTATGGTCAACCATGGTTTGTTGACCGCAAAAGCCAGTCGGTAACCGGTGATTTTCGATGTTTGTGGTCCAACCGCGCTGCCCTACTTTGTGTTGGGTGTTCTTTGCTAGGATATATTGGACTTTCGGGGTCATTTGGTATGCCGGACTGTTTTGGACTGGACTAAATATTGGGACTGTCTTGAATTGGCTTGACCTTGCATAAGCTCGATAAGACTTGTACTGCGTTTGGTATACGATTGGACTATGACTATATTTTTAATTTTTAATTTTTAAAAAGAAGGCAAATGGATTTATTTGTTTTTATTTTTACTTTTCTTGTTTCTCTCTCTGCTTTTTCATCTTCTTCTACCTCCCTGTGTCTTTTTCTTCTTCTTCTTCTCCCTCCTCTCTCCTTCTCCTCTTCTTCTCAATATATTTATCTCTCTGCTTCTTAATTTTCAAAATTTTCCTATTTCACTATTTCTCTCTTCACCCTTCTCTCTCTCTTCAATAGCCACATACCCAAACCCCACAATCTAAATTTGGGAATTTGCTTCTTTGAGGAGGTTCCTACCTGGGTGGGTTCTTTGATGGTGAATTGCTTGATGGTTAGCTATTGTTTTATGAGGTTCTTCCCCAAATTTCATAAAAAGAAAAAGTCATTTGAATTAATTGATTTATTTCCTCCATTTGGGTTTTGTAGCAGACTTTGAGAGAGAGAGAGAGAGAGAGAGAGAGAGAGAGAGAGAGAGAGAGAGAGAGCAGCTAAAAGGGATGAGGGTGGGAGGCCATGGCTGCGACGAGGTGTGTGCGTAGGTTGAAGGTGATGGCCGAGACGAAGGCATGGAGAGGGAGGAAGTCGTGAGCAATGAGGAGGGGATTATTTGTCTCTCCCCCCTCCCCCCTCCTTTTTTCACACATGGGTCTCAAGAAGCTCAGCTAAGAAGGTGTTTTTGGTGGGCCACAGATTACTAATCTCATTTTAAATTAGAACCATGTGACAATAAACTTGGGATAATTTTTGGCAAAAATTCACTTATGGTCCCTGTAGTTTGCCACTTTTACCACTTTGGTCTCCATCATTTCAATTTGATCAATTTTGCCTCTGTAGTTTTCAAATTAAGGAATTCAAGGACAAATTCCAATCTCTATCAAAATAGATTGAGTTAATTTCAGTTTGGTATCCTGAAGTTGTACCGTTAAGGCATGTTTGTCCTTGCGTTTTCATTCAATTTTAACAGTGTAGTATCCTCATTTTTAAAATTTGTTTCAATGTGGCTTTGCCGTTAGATTGGTGATGAGCACAAAATTAATACAAGTTTTATCCTTAAATTTATATTTGTTAATGTTTTCTTTTATTTTATTTAAATCTATTAGAGTATTTGTATTGATTACAATCTTTGTGTTTTGTATTTAATGAGTGGTTGTTTGTAGCTATTAAGTGTCTTCCACCAATAGCAATTGTGGAGGAATAAACAATGTGTTGCAAGAAGAAGGTAGAGGATAAGAAGAAAATGTGTGCAGCAAAAGTCAAGGAAATCTGCTGAAAACAAAGGAAAAACATGGAGAGCAACCCGTGTGAAGCATATTCAAAGCCAAAACCAAAGATAAAGAAGTGTGTGCAACAACAAAAGCAAATGAAGATAAGATAAAACAAATGGAAGCAAGAAGCAATCAATTGCACGAATGAGCTCCAGGATATGCATGCAAGCTGCCATACCGTAGTTATTTTTGTCATAAATTTAATCTCAATTTCAGTTCATTGTCATTTTCATATTTGTTTTATGCTTTATTTAATTTTCTTTACAAACAAATCACTATTTGAATGAACTAGGTTGGCAATGAAATTAACTTGCGTTTAATTGGTTTTCTATCTCTTCACACAATCCCTTGGGTACGACCTCGCTCTTACACACTTATGCTATATTCAATTCATGCGCTTGCAAGTTTATACATTTTAAAAATACATCTTTTGGTGACAACAATTGGCTGTTAGAAAACCTGTTAAGTGATGACGTGGCACATGTGAGGCCCACGTTCATTTAAAATCGAATTTTTTTAAAAGAAAACAAACAAAAAACGTTTTTTTTTTCTCTCTCAAACCCTAGAAATTTGAATACCAGGCGGCGAATCTTTCTGGCACAAAGTAGTCTTCCATGTATGATTCTTGCACTGCGTTTCTGATTTTAAAGAATTATATGAAAATTGGGTTTGATGATTTTTGACTGTTTTGGGATTTAATTTGATTGGATTGGTGGAGGGTGGAGAGAGACAAACTGAAAGTCTGGAGCTTTGTGTCTCTGTAAAAAGCAAGAGGCAAATGCTAACAGAAAGAGAGAGAGAGACATTACAATCTTGGAAAAGCAAATCCAGAATCAGATCAGGAGGGTCCACATTGTGTTGGCGAGTCCTATTCTATTTGGGTTTTATTTATTTTTCCTTTTGTGTAGATATTACCTTCCCCAGTTACCGGTGAAGGTACCATCCATCTTACTCCTTCTTTACCCCTTTCTCATGCACTCTTGGTTCCCAATATTCATTGCAATTTGTTATCTGTTGGGCGTTTACTTGATACACTTAACGCTTCTACTACCTTCTATTCTACCCATTGTTTTTTCCAGGATCTCAGGACTCACGAGAAGATTGGGCATGGTAAACGGATAGGGGGGTTATATTACTTACAGTTGCCGACTGCAGCAGTTCGTGATTGTGTCGCTAATAAAGCTCTGAGTGGCAGTGTCAAGGACAAGCACCAACTTTGGTTATGGCATCGTCGCTTAGGACATCCGTCGTTTGGTTATCTTAGACATTTGTTTCCTTCGTTATTTAGTTCGTGTGATGAGTCTAGTTTCAAATGTGAGACTTGTGTAATGGCCAAGAGCCACCGTACTGTTTTTCCCTTAAGTAATAATAAAGCTGCTTTGCCTTTTGAGTTAGTACATTCTGATGTCTGGGGTCCTGCTCGTGTGACTTCTCATGGTTTCCGTTGGTTTGTAACTTTTATTGATGACTGCACAATGATGTTGCCTCTATTCTTCTTGACTTTTGTGCCATGGTGTCTACTCAGTTCCATGCTCGTGTTAAAGTATTTCGCACTGATAATGGCGGTGAATATGTGAATCATACCTTGGCCCAATTCTTTCGTGATCAAGGTATCATTCACTAAACTACCACTCCATTTACACCTCAACAGAATGGTGTGTCTGAAAGGAAGAATCGCCAGTTACTTGAAGTTGCTCGCTCTCTGATGTTGGATATGTCTGTTCCCCATCATCTTTGGGGACATGGTGTCTTAGCCGCCGCCTACTTGATTAACCGTACTCCTAGTCAGGTTCTTGATTTCAAGACTCCACTTGATATGTTATGTGCTCTTACTCCTCCGGTTTCGGTCTCTAAGGTACCTCCGAAGGTGTTTGGGTGTGTTGCGTGTGTTTATGTTTACTCTCATCAAAGGAGTAAACTTGATCCTTGTGCTCTCCGCTGTGTCTTCATTGGTTATTCTACGACTCAGAAAGGTTATAAGTGTTATCACCCGCCTACTCAGAAGGTACATGTCACTTTGGATGTCACATTTCATGAAGAAGTAACCTATTATGTGTCTCCCTCCTCTTCAACTCAGGGAGAGAGGGGGAGTGAATTGAAGAGTTTCGGAGTGAAAAATAAAACGACCGGTCGCTCATAGGACGCGATCAGTCGCTCATAGGACGCGACTGGTCGCTCGCGTCGAGCTGGGACTACAGTACCGATACGAGCAAAGCGACCGGTCACATTGAGGAAACGACCGGTCGCGAACGAATCTGTCTAGATACGACCGGTCGTGTAGAAGTGGGCGACCGGTCGCTAATGAATCTGCTTGGAAACGACCGGTCGCACATAGGAAGCGACCGGTCGCCCGCGTCGACGAGCGATAACAGTACCGATACAAGCGAAGCGACCGGTCGCGAGGAAAGCCACGACCGGTCGCCAGACCAAAATTGTGGTTTTTTCGAGCCTCTCTCAGAAGGACATAACAGTGATATTGGCGACTCTCGTACAGATGAAATTGATAATATACCCTTCTCTGCCCTGCCATTGCCTCAATCAAGTTGTGATAATGAGGTACTTTCTAGTGATATGCCTACCTATTCTTTACCCCCACGTACTACCCGTGGGAAACCTAAAGTACAATATTCTCCTGATATACATGC